AGAACACTTACCTTAGCCTACAGCTGGACAAAATGGCACAAAGCCAATAATAAAGTATTGAAAATCTCATGTAATTTATTGAATATTACACCGAAAGTGAAAAACAGAATGGTTATATAAGGACAGAACAGTTTTAGAGGTGTATTGGTTGTTTACCCTTGTGACAGCATGGCTGACTGGGAGCTGTGAGTGGCTGCTTCTGCCCAGTATCATGGGTATGGTACAGCATATTGCTAGCCCAGGGAGGGAAAAAAATAAAAATTTGAAGTACAGTTTCTACTGAAGGAGTATCACTTTTGAACCATCATAATGTCAAAAAATCATAAAATTAACCATCATAAGTCTGGGACTGCCTGTACCAAATATCTCCTTCAACCAGTGACCTTAGCCATACGAAATACAGCAAGAAATACAGACTTAAAACACTCTGCCAGAGGCACTTTATTACTAATATCCTTCCCTTTCCTATACGTACTCTACATATATTTCTCTAAGAAGCTGTTTATCTAGCTTCCCTCAGGTAATTAATTAGATGCAAAACCATAAGAAAAAATTCAAGGGAGCAGAAGAATACAAGGTGGACCTTCTTCCCACCCCCTTTTCCAGTCTGTTGTTTCAGGTCTAGGGACTGGGAAACAGCACTCTGAAAGCATGGAGTCAAAAGACAATCTGGCACCAGTCCAGTTTACCGCGTATTTATTGATAACCTACTGAGTACTATGCACTATAGAAGGTACTAGAAATGTAACCATAAAAAAAAACAAAGCCCTACCTTTTAGGTAGGAAAGTACTTACAGTCCACTGGAGGTTATGGTAGATAGGGATGTACAGTAAATTACAATGCAGCGTGTTAGAAGTTTGAAGACTAAAAGCAGTACAACAGAAGGATTTGGGGACTCAGGAAAGGTTTCATTTAAAAAGTGACACCAGAGCAGAGTTTTGAAGAATAAGAAGTTTGTCAAACAACAGAGAAGTGGTAGTAAAAGTACTCCCACCTACCCACACAAAAACATATGAAAGAAAAAAAAAAAAGGAAAACTTTCAGGGTAGCAAATATGTCCAAAATATCTAGCTATATCTAAACAGACTTAGACTCCAAGTAAGCATATAGAAAATATTATAGTGTATCCAGAAAAGGGAAATTTTTTTCTCCTACATAACTTATTTTATATTTCCGTATTATATAAGCTATGAGATGTTACCAAAAAACAAACACTATAAACCATTTTATTATTTCATAATGGAACATACCTCCAAGTGATATGCCAAGAACAAGCTGTCAGAAAAACGTAATAGGGAATTCTTTTTCCAGGTCATCCCTAAAGTACAGACAAAGTAAATAAATGAACAAGCCATATCAGTATGGCCTGTCATAGAGAGGAGCTTTAAGAATTTAAAAGATGCCAAACAGAAAAACTAAAGCAACAGAAAAAATATACATAGTATTTAAATTGAAGATGGAAAGGGTCAATGAACAAAACCAAGATAAAGGTTACAATTTTAAAACCTGAAAACTCCAGGTGCCTGGGTGGCTCACTTGGTTAAGCGACTGCCATGGGCTCACGTCATGATCCTGGAGTCCCGGGATCAGGTCCCACATGGGGCTCCTTGCTCAGTGGGGAGTCTGCTTCTCCCTCTGACACTCCCCCCTCTCATGCTCTCTCAAATAAATAAAATCTTTAAAAATAAATAAAAAATAAAACCTGAAAACTCTAATGTCCATTCTGTTTCTTTTGAGAGACAGACTTTCTGTAACAGACATCAATTTTATAGCTCTTTCAAAATATCTAGTGAAAGTCACAACGTTAAGTATCACAGGTAGAAATTATCCTTAGTAAGGCAGAATGATCACCTGTATTATCAACCTGAATGATTCCTATCACAGCACTAGATCCCTTGATATCAATATTGTATGTAATTAGATTCAAAAATTACAGTGCAACTCAAATTAACTCTGTCTGTAAAACTGCCCTACCTGGTACCCTGGTTTCTTTTGCTTCTTTGTATTACAAAATCCACCAGAGGTCTAGGTAACAAACAAAATCTTACTTAGTAGTATCTTTTCCTAAGACTGTATCACTATTTGCATAAGCTGTCCTCACTGCCTATTCAAGTGAGCACATGGAAAGTTTGCTTTTAAATATGTAATAATAGAACAAATTTTGTACAGTTAAAAATTTCAACATAATTTAAAAATACTATTTATCAGTGCTTTTAAGGAGCAAAAACAAACTTATTTTTACTACTCTATTAATGTCTACTCATTATTTCATAGATATAGATGTGAAGCATGCCTCTCTACTTTTCTATAGTATCAGAAAATCTTATGAAGCAAATTTGTCACTGAACAGGGCAAAATTATAACTTCCCATGGGTTGTGAAAAATTCTCTAAGAGTCTTTTAAGATACAAATACCTTCAATAACATTATCTACCAAAGAGATAAGAACCAAAACAACTAGGTTAGAGGCACTTCTAATGAAATCTACTCATTAATCCGAAGTACTTATTTTCTTATGAACAAAGAGAAATTTCAGGTTATAACTAAGTTAAAGTATCTCTGAAAAATCAAAAAGTAAATTAAACATCCAAATCATTAAGTAAAAATATAGGTAATTATTTCTCTTGAGGAGGAATATCATTCTGAGTTTTATCTTCAAGATCAAGTACCTCTCAAACGAAGGGGATATAAATACACTCTTACATTTTGCCCTAATTTTTCCACCACATAAATTTACTTTAAAACGGAAGTATTACAGAAACTGAGAATTTTTTACAGGCTGTATTTGTTGCTTGGTTAAACATACAGGCAATTCTCATCCCCCAAGAGTATCGGATTAGTTTACAGATATCTTTGTACAGTATACTTAGAATAAAAGGGTTCTGCTTAGGATAATTTATTTTTATTGATGCAACATTAATTAGGACGCAAAAAGTATGAAAGTTTCTCAAATCCTGTCTAAATTATGAAGTATGCACAGAAGTCACTGCAATTCACTGCCCTTTAAAAAAATGAGAAAAGTACCTTTTTAAAATTAAATGAGACTCTTACAAAGTCAAGAAAGTGGAACAGTTTTGTCTTTTGTTACATATATAGTTATTTTTCCTTTAGATTTATTATCACAAAAGAGAAGTTCAACATACAAAGCTTACTAAAGATCCTGGCCCATTAAGCAGTATTTCAATGAAAATATCTGAATGAAGACATCTAATCATTTCAATGTAGACATTTTAACCATTTCAGTCCACTGTGATTCTGAATCAACCCTTTAAATCTGGGATGAAGTTATCTTCCAAAATTGCCAAAGATATGTGTTCACTGACGTTTAAGAAATAACTGCTGTCAAATATACTAAGTATTCCCAAACAATTCAACTTAAACCCAATAGGGTAAATAGATATTTTGAAATTTCTCCCCAACACCCCATACTTTATTCCCACTTATGTTATTTCAAAAGGCAAATCAAAAGTTACACTTAACGATTCTAGAGGTCTAGAAATTCCTAATACCAAGCATGACAGGAAATGTGTTCAACTTTGAACTCGAATAAATGCAAGTACAGCCTCCCTCGTGAACAGATTTTAACTCAGTACTTTCTACCATTTCTCCAAGAACGTAAAGGTTGATATCAATATACTTAATTATCAGAACAGGTCCAGAAGATTAAGAAAGGAGTGAAGATTCTTTGACCAAAAATTCTATAAAAATGAAAGAGAATGTGCTGCATTCGGTCTTCTGGATGTTGAAAAGTGAAGGCCTCTCCTAGGATTCAAAGGAAGTTGATGTTTAGGTTCCTTCCGAGAGGGTGGTACCCGTATGTAAGACTTTTGTGGTGGTTAATACCACATCCAGAGGGCCTGGGATAAATGCAAATTCTAAAACCTTGGAAGTGCTTTTATAAAAAAAAACTAGAATCCTCATTCGCTGAGAACTAACAGTTAACAAGAGTCAGAGGCTTTCTCTCCTAGATGGACAACAGCCTCAACTAAAAACTAGGAGGGCCTCCTTCAACCCCACTCATTTCTTCCGTAAAACTTTTAAGTTAGACCCAAGACAGCACAAGGTGGAGAGGCCCCGGCGGAAGTAGAAACCTAGGACTAGCAACTTCACAAACAGAAGCGTCTCGGGTTCCTCCGCCGCCCCAGGACTATCCCATCTCAGTCTCTATCACTCCACGCAAGCTTCACCCTCCGGGTGCGGTGGCAGAGAAAGCATTACAGTTGCACTCCTCATTCCACCAACCATACCCTTTGGTATCCTAGGGCCTGGGGGCTCCTGAGGCCCGTTAGCCAGTCCCGTGTCCCCCCCCACCCACCCCATCTATTACATACACACACACACACACACACACAAGTTGCAGGTGATGTGGGTGTACTGAGAAAATGTGAACAGCCAGAGACCGCGGCAGCTGCTGGGAACGCGGCAGCCCCGTCTAAAGCGGACCCGGGCTCCTCGGCCACCGCTGCTGCCGCCTTCTCTTCCCCAGGAAGCAGCGCGGCGGCGGCGGCGGCTCCTCCGCGCTGGCGGGAGCCCGGCGGAGCGGAGTCTAGAGGAAGCCTCAGCTCCCGCCGAAGGGACCAGGCCTAGGATCCAGGGTTGCCGCTGCAGCCACCCAAGTACAGCGACGCTTTACGTCCCGTCCACCACCCTCCCCATACACACCCCCTCCCTCCTCCACCGCCGCCACCCCCCCTCCCCGCCCGCTCCGCTCTCCCTCTCTCGATTGGAGCCGAGACAAAAGCAACGGGAAGCGGCGGGCCAGGACGCTGCCCGCGGACCCCGGGCGCGGCCGGACCGGCCCCGAGGCATTCCCCAGCCTTGAGGGGGCCCCGAATCCGCCGCCCCCGCCGCGCGCCCCGCTGCCAGACTTCCGAAAAATTGCCAAAAACTCACCGCATGAATTTTCTTGTCCCGCGGATCCAAGATGGCGACGTATCCACCGCGGAGGCTGCTGGGAGCAAGACCTTTACCCTCTGACCCTCGCCGTGACCCCCGTCGTTCCGGCTTCACTCAAGGCGGCGGCGGAAGGTGGGAGCGGCGATTGCGGACGGGACAGGGTTGGGGGTGGGTAGACCGCTTCCCGCGCGTTCAAGAAGGGGTGGGGAGAGGCGCTTCACTCCCTCACCTTTTTCGCCGCGGCTTCCAGCATGTCTCTCACCGACTTACCGGGAGGCGCGTAGCCTCTTCGCAGCCGTTATAACGAGCAGGGCCTCTGCGGCTGCTACAGTTCCCCTGGGGCTGGGTTGCTCTGCACTGAGCACGGGCCCTGGGTCCGTCGCGGGCCGCGGGGTCCAGGGGCGGGGAATGGTGAGGTGGCGTCGGCCCGCCCTCCCTGGGGACGCGGAGCGTGTTTGTGTTTGTGTTCGTGTCGGACACCACGCCCCTCCCACGTCCGCCTGGAAGGGCCCCCACACCCACCCCACCCCCGACTCCCACCACCTGAAGCAAAACTGATCGCTGTCCCCTTTTCCTCCCTCAGCCCGCGCAACCTCCGATGCTTGTGCACGCACTTCCAGGGACTGGCAGCATGTCACCATCACCTCCTGAGAAGTGAGTTCCCCTCTGCTGAAACCGTTGGTATTTTCTACTCACCACCCTTCCCTTTTTTTTTTTTTTTAATTTGGTGGGAGGGAGCTTATTGGGGAGCAAGTTTTTAAAGCACTATTGAATGAGCTTGCGCTAGCCGAGTTAAATTTATAGCACTTTCTCTCGCTCCTACTCCCCAGTCCCCACCTAAGCTTCAGTGACCAGCTGGGCTGTAAGCAAGACCCATTGAAATTATGGTGGCTTTGGTGGAAACTTCAGGAGAGTGAAGTCTCTGTTTTTCAGAAAAACAGTTGCCACTCAGAATTAAATTTATGTTCTTTGAAATAATCTCTCTTTATTCCTTTGTATATCGATAAACGCTTTCCTTTTTGTTACTATTCGACAGTTTTGGACTGAAGAGTCTCTGCATGTGTGTTTTGGAATTGTGTAGTTTCATAAAGTGAATTGTTATTTTTTTCTATTTGAATGATAGAACTTATGAATGTAAAAGTATAAGCCATTTGGAGTAAATAAAACTTCTACTTCCTTGGTGGTTTCTTTTATATAATCACTTTTTCCTTCCAAATAAAACTCATTGTAATCCAATTTAAAATTTATGATTGAAGGGCAGAGGGCATCTGTCAGTCTTAAGTGGCAAGAAAAATAAGCGTATTATAAAATGAAAGGTGACTTTGTTCTGTTTACGAAATGCAAGGTATTTTTACATATTAGTAAATGCTGTGTGAATTAATTCAAGCTCTGAATGGTGCTGATGTAGCCAGTAGAAAATATTTTGCCTGATTATTCATTTCATTAAACATTCTGCTTCACTGTTTTTCACTTCAGGAAAATTCAAGGAGGAACATCTCTTTATGTCCTTTCCTCCCCTACCCCTAACAGTTCCTTCCTGCCTCTTCAGCATTCTCTTCTACTCTGTAAGATGGTGTGTTAGAAGACTGAATATGCCTCTAAGTATTTGTAATCCAGCTTCATCCTGTTCTCACCCTTCTCATTGCTTCCTTTCTATTTCTGTCATGTACCAAGCTCTTTCCGGGCTATAGCAGAGACTGTTAGTTGTCCCTAAAATTTCTCCATTTTTTTAATACTAATAGACATGGACACATGGCTGTCCAGAATAAAGACTATTTTCCAGCCTCTCTGTAGCCATGTGGTAGTTCTGGCCAATGTGATATAAACAGATATGTCATGTGGCCCCCCTTTAATACCATCCTTAGAATACAATCGGTGCACACCTTCAGTCCTTTGTTTCTTTTCGTCTTAATATCCTGCATCCTGGAATATGGATGTGATAGCCTAGAACTCTGTCAGTTTGGGCTCTAAGCAAAATCAAAACCTGGGTCCTTGAGCCCCTTGTGGAGCACCATACCAGCCCTACACTCTATGTTCAAATTTTGATGTGAGGGAAAAATAAACTTCTATCTTATTAAAGCCACTCTTTAGGGTCTCTTGTTCTCAACTGAATTTAATCTGAACTGGTACTCCATCTCAGGACCTTTGCACTTGCTATTTTTTTTTCTGCCTGGGATATGCTTCTCTATGTCTATATGGCTAACTCATTCTCATCCTTCAGGTCTTAACTCAGAAATCATCTCTGACAGGCCTTCCCTGGCCACCATATTTAAAGTAGCTCCTTTTCCCATTTATTCTGTTTTTTAATAGCATTTGTAATTTATCACTATCTTTATTGTTTTTTATATGACTCCTTTCATCCTACTAAAAATTTAAGTTACATGAGAGCAGGGACTACGTTTGTTTTGCTCACTGCATTATTCACACATAGTAGACATTAGATAAGTCATGTTAAATGAATGAGACAGTGAATAAATAAAGCAATGAATGGATGAAGTAGATTCTTATCTAAGATTAGGTAATCTTTTTTTTTTCTTTTTAAATATCTTGAAAGGTTTCCTTCACATAATGTGTAAAATCCAAGCTAGGAAGCAGCTAGGAAAAATAGTGCTAAACTAATGGAATATGTTAGCTTCCAATCCTGGATAATAAAGATGTATACCTTTTTTTGGGAAATTGATAAGACTATTACACGAAAAACCGCTTAATTGGTTTGGCATACTTGGCAAATCAGAAGTCAATATCACATCTGGGGCAGAAATTTCCACTCTGTAGTGGTCTGATTTATTATGTAACTTACTGGACCTCAGATTCTTCATCTAAAATGTAGGTAAGAGGAGTGCCTGGGTGGCTTGGTTGGGCATCCCGTTCTTAATTTCGGCTCAGGTCATGATCTCAGGATTGTGAGATTGAGCCCTGTGTCAGGATCCATGCTCAGTGGGGAATCTGCTTGAATTTCTCTCCCTCTGCCCCTCCTCCCACTCACACACACTCTTTCTCTAGAATAAATAAATTGATCTTAAAAAAATAAAAATGTAGATACAAATCTTAGGCTTTGAATGGTAATATAAAAGTTTAATAGTCCGACTTATGAGTGACATGTGTTATACATTACTTTGGTCATCAGGTGTTATTTTAACAAGTGATTATGTCTTGATAATACTGGCAAGGATTTAGAGAAATAGTGCTTCTTAAATGTCTGAGAATATAAATCCCCACACTTCAAGAGTGCAGTTCGACAGTATGTATCAGAAGCCTGGAGCATGTGCATTTGACCCTGAAATTCCTCTTCTAGAAATGTATCATAAGGAAATAAGAATATATGTAACAATTTTATTTGCAAGAGTATTCATTATTACATTGTTTATGAGGGTATTGGTTAAATAAGTTAAGCTATATACATATAATGGAACAGTATTCAGCCATTAAAAATGATGTGGAGGAGGGGCACCAGGCTGGCTCAGTCCAGAGAGCATATGACTCTTGATCTCAGGGTCATGAGTTCGAACCCCGCATTGGATATAGAGATTACTGAAATAAAATTTCAAAAAAAATGTGGAGGAAATTTTATTGACATGCTATATTAAGTGTAAAGAGAAAATTTAAAATGTAGAGTTAACCCTTGAATAATTCAGTGGATGGGGCACCTAACCTCCCTCCCCTACGTAGTCAAAAACTAATAGCGTGCTATTGACTAGAAGCCTTACTGATGATATAAACAGTTAACACATATTTTGCATGTTATATGCTTTATGTATTGTATTATAACAAAGCAAGCTAGGGAAAAATACTAAGAAAATCATAAGGAAAATACATTTACGGTATTGTACTATATTTGTATAAGTGGACCCATGTAGTTCAAACCTGTGTTCTTCAAGGATCAACTGTAATTCCAGTTTTGTGAAAATTTGTAAGTCTCCCAAAGATCTAACATGATATGCACAAAGGGTTATTCAGCCTTGCAGAAGTATTTTTATTTACAGCTATTTTTATTTCATTATTTCTATTTAATAGTTTTTTAATTTCCATAGAATAAAAATTGTGTATAATACTAATTAAAAGGCTACTTCTCTTTTTATAGAAACAAGTGGATAATTTGGGGCAATAGTACGACATACTCATTTGCCAAGCTTAATGTCTTTTATTCTTTCTTCTGCCCTATGCCCCACAAATAATTACCAATTCTTGTGTATATTACCTTCTAATTAAAACATAGTAATAGCAGCAACAGATGTAGCAGACACTTAAGATTCATAACATGCCAGGCACTCTTGTAAGCATTTTACCTATATTAACTCCTGAAATCCTTGCAACTACTTTATGTGCTAGAAACTGCTAAAATCTGTAGTACAGACTAAATTCTGTGTTAGATCAGAAAAAAAAAAAGAGGGGGCGCCTGGGTGGCTCAGATGGTTAAGCGTCTGCCTTCAGCTCAGGTCATGATCCCAGGGTCCTGGAATCGAGTCCCTCATCGGGCTCCCTGCGCAGTGGGGAGCCTGCTTCTCCCTCTTTCTCTCTCTCTGTCTCTTATGAATAACTAAATAAAATCTTTAAAAAAAAAAAGAGGACTGATGCATCAGGGATAATTTCACCAAGTGGCTGTTTAAATTCCATGTTGAATGACTGGTTAGATGTGGATGAAAGGAAGGGACGTTTTCAGTGAGGGGAATAACATGAGCAAAGGCAGATTGTATTTCCTAGGGCCGCCATACAAAGTACCACAGACTGGGTGACTTTTTTTTTTTTTTTTAAGATTTTATTTATTTATTTGACAGAGAGAGACACAGCGAGAGAGGGAACACAAGCAGAGGGAGTGGGAGAGGGAGAAGCAGGCCTCCCGCAGAGCAGGGAGCCCGATGTAGGGCTCGATCCCAGGACCCCGGGATCATGACCTGAGCCAAAGGCAGATGCTTAACAACTGAGCCACCCAGGCGTCCCCCACAGACTGGGTGTATTAAACAACAAATTCATTTCCTCACAGTTGTGGAGGCTAGAAGTCTGAGACACAGTTGCTTTCTCCCCAGGGGCCTCTGTGCTTGGCTTGTAGATGGCTCTGTTCATAAGCTTACATGGTATTCTCCCTGTATGTGAGTTTGTTTCTAGCTTTCCCCTTCTTATAAGAACAGCAGTCATATTGGCTTAGGGCATACTCATATGACTTCATTTAACATTAATTATCTTTTTAAAGCTCCTGTCTTCAAATACAATCACGTTCTGAGGTAGTGCAAATTAGTACCTCATAAATTCGGGGGGAACACAACCCAATTCGGGCCAGCTCAGAAGCAGAAATGAGCATGGGCCAGGAACTAGAACCAGACTAAGAGAAGCAGAAGGAGGCTAGTGGAATTTATGTAGAATATGGTGGCAGATTTTGGAGTGTTTTAAAATGCAGAATGTAGAAATGTTGATAGTTGGCTTTTAATAAGTCACTGCTAATCAATCCATTCCCAAGGTTTAGTTAGCACCACAAAGGAAAAAAATAAATAAATAAGGGCCCCTGGGTGGTGCAGTCGGTTGGGCATCTGACTCTTGGTTTCAGCTCAGGTCGTGATCTCAGGGTCATAGGATCGTGGAATCCAGCCCCACGCTGGGCTCCATGCTCAATGCAGAGTCTGCTTAGTTTCTCTCTCTGCCCCTCCCCACTGTGTTTACAA